TACTTCATTCCTTCCTTCCGTCTCTCTCCTTCCTTTTCATTTACTTCTTTCCTTCCTTCTGGTTAGAAGGCAGTATTTATTTCAGGCTAAATCTGCCGACTGCCAGAAGTTCGATCCTGGCTGGCTCAAGGTTGACTCAGCCTTCCCTCCTTCCAAGGTCGGTAAAAGGAAGACCCAGATGGTTGGGGGACAATATGGTGACTCTGTAAACCGCTTAAGAGTAAAGCACTGTGAAGTGGTATGTAAATCTAAGTGCTATTGCTAGTCCTTCCTTCCTTCTGTGGTGGTGCAGTGGTTAGAATGTAGTATTGCAGTCTGTCTCTGCCGACTGCCAGCAGTTCGATCCTGACTGGCTCAAGGTTGACTCAGCTTTCCGTCCTTCCGAGGTGGGTCAAATGAGGACCCAGATTGTTGGGGGGCAAGAGGCTGACTCTGTAAACTGCTTAGAGAGGGCTGGAAAGCACTGTAAAGTGCTATATGTCTAAGTGCTATTGCTATCTTCCTTCCTTCCCTTCCCAGTGGTTAGAATGCACATTCTTTCATGAAGATGCTCCCTTAAAATCGTGGGAGACTATCTGCCAGTAGCAGCCCCTCTTCCCCCACCCACCCCCCAAATTGCCAGGTTCATAGAGGGAGAGTCCCCATCTCCCTCCTTAGGGCAAATGGGGAGGGTCCTGACTCCTGAGACCATTGTTTACAGCTGATATTAGAAAGATTATGTTTTTATCATGTGTTTTCATAGTATGACATCCAGATTCACTTTCTGGGACAGGAGCAGCTACTATGACTATTAATCTTCTCATCCCTCCTTATCACCCATCCCCTCCTACTTGTGACTGTATGACTGAAACTTTGTCCCTTATATCCTAATGATATATATTGACTGTTTCCTAGTATGATTTGATTGCTTATCGTACCCTATGGCTATTATTAAGTGTTGTGTCTTATGATTCTTGACTCTTGATGAATGTATCTTTTCTTTTATGTACACTAAGAGCATTTGCACCAACACAAATTCCTTGTGTGTCCAATCACACTTGGCCAATAATGAATTCAATTCAATTCAATTCAATTCAATTTTATTCTATTCTTATTGTACCCTATAACTGTTATTAAGTGTTGTACCTTATGATTCTTGACGAATGTATCTTTTCTTTTATGTACACTAAGAGCATTTGCACCAACACAAATTCCTTGTATGTCCAATCACACTTGGCCAATAAAGAATTCTTTCTTTCTTTCTTTCTTTCTTTCTTTCTTTCTTTCTTTCTTTCTTTCTTTCTTTCTTTCTTTCTTTCTTCTTTCTTTCTTTCTTTCTTTCTTTCTTTCTTTTCTATCTATCATCTATCTATCTATCTATCTATCTATCTATCTATCTATCTATCTATCTATCTATCTATCTATCTGCTAATCAGTTACAACATACCTCAGATTATTCGTTTCTATTTTGCTTTTTCCTGTTGATCTACTTAAAAGGTGGAGTGAGATATTTTGTTTTTGCCACGTTTCACTCCCTGATTTTTCACTGACCACAAGCAGGTTTGAATGTTTTCCTAGTGACACAAAAGGAGGCAGCAAAGAATAACCTGAAAGGAAAAAAAAAACAGACACAAATGTTAGTTTTCCACTCAGAATACTTGTATGCACTCACGCAGACCTTGCTCGCTATTTTTAAAATCTATATAAATGTATCAAACATTTCCCTGTACTTAGAAGTGTAAGAAATCAAAATGAAAGATGCACAAGGAAAAAAAGGAACCAGGAGTTTATAGATACAGCCTGGTAAACACAAGAGTAAAATATTTTTATATTGAGTATTTCATATTTTTGGACAATTCTTACAAGCATGAAGATTGTTTAACTATGTTTATGAAAAGCATGTTATTTTATAGACTGGCTGCTGTTAAAATTATTCAGATATATACATACATATATATATTATATAATAAAAAAGGTCAATATAAACAAACTACTTTTAAGATGTCTGTCAAAAATTGTGATGTACATTACTGAAAAAAGTGACTTATGACCATTTCCCCCCCCCCACACACACTTATGACCATTACTGCATCCCCATGGATTCATTCAACCAAGGTGGCCAGAAAAGTCGTAAAATGAGGCAAAACTCATTCGGCACGTTTCTCTCTTAGTAGCCACATAAATCCTGGACTCAATTGTGGCCGTTAAGTCGAGGACCACACCTGTACTGTGTCTTAAGAGGGGCCTTTCAGGAGTCCTGCCAGTGGTTATGGTAGTGGCGGTGCCAGGAAAGGGTTAAAGGGGGGAGGGAGAGAAAAGAGCAGGAGGGGCGCCAGAAGTCTACCTTGAGTTTCCTTGTTAGGTATCGCCAGGTGAAGGACTCCCAGGAGAAAATTGACCAGTTCTGGGACAAATCTTTGAGCCAGGGATGTATAGTCCAGGAAGAGACAGCAGACAAACAATCCTTTCACAATGTCTTGTTCCGTTCTTACGGCGCACTACAGAAACAGCCAGAATAGAGAAACTGTGATGACCCGGGGCGTGGCACAAAGGCAACTCAGCCAGAGAATAAGTATGTGTCCCTTTTATTAGCTCCCAACTTTGCCCCCAACGACCCGGTTACTTTTTGGTCTGAGAAAAAAAAACTCTCCCAGGAATCTGCAACAGCCTTTGGGCTGCAGATATTCCAAGCCAAAATGGTGTAAACAGAAAACTTTAAATTATGACTCCAACATGGCAAAATAAGATAATTAAATATGGCAGGGCAAGATAAGGAGATAAGAAGTGAAGTAATACGGCAGTAAATTCAACCAGTTGGGAGGATGCCTGGAGCTGAGATAATAGCAGCCAACACTCAGTGAACTCAGCGTTTGCTCCCAACAACCGTCCCTCACATCTGCTCTTCTTTAAACTCCCTCCCCAGGTAAGCCTTGTGAAGGGAATCAGGGCCCTTTCCTCCCCCGTAAGCCACGCAACCCACGTTGCTCTCTTCTCCGTTCCTCCCTGAGTGCCCTACGATGAAGAGGGGGTGGGCCTGGGTCTTCCTCCGAACTCCTTCTCCCTTGTTCTACCTCTCCCCTGCTCTGCCCAGCCAGACTTTGCCCTTCCCCAGTTTCTTCCACAGCCAACGGAGCCACACTCCCACTCCCTGAGGGTTGTTCATCTTTCTCCTCTGATTCAGACATGACAAAAACTTAAGGGACATGTAAACTCCAGGAGCTTGAACTACACCAGAATTCCTGATGGTTACTCATCCCAGGGCATCCCATGTAGCAGGACAGCTGAGGGGCAGCTGGCTGCAACTCTCCCCTTACTCCCCACCCTTGTGGCATAGGCCTTGAAGCCAGATGTGACCACACAGGGGGCAGGTGAAGGAGACAAAAAAGGTCAGCTGGGGGTTATAGGTAAATATGAGCCCAATGGCAAGGGCTGAATTTTGACCACATGACCAGGTTTCTTTAAGGTTGTTTGGCTTGGGCTTGCTGGGTTTTTATTCTTTGCTGATAGTGCTTTTTAAATTGTGTTGTTAACTGCCTCCAAAATTGTGTTTGTGAGATTGGCCACGACACCAATTCATTTAATTAGTCAATAAATACATTCGGAAAATGGGAGGATTGGATGAGCAACCCAGAAGGTATCAACAGTTAGGGTTTGCCACATAAAAGCATTAACGAATGTAAGTTCATTTTCATCTTTAAGCGAACGTTTTTGGTCAGGAAAAAACAAAGTGGTGAAAAAGAACCCACCTTTGTAAGTAGCTGGCTCATGTAAACCAACGATGGGGTTACTACCGGATGCCAGAAATCAGAAGTCGGAAAAAGAATGGTAATAATTTTCAAATACAGGAGCTGAAAAAAAATATAATGGTTGTCCACCATGATTAACGCAATCCCTTCTATGTTTAAAATAATCTTAGGATTTACTTTTGTGCCATATGTTGCCCTGGGATCATTGGAGGACAAGAGCCCAGATCAATGCTGTGCAGGTAGTCCTTAACTTATGACAAGAAGAAGGAGAAGGAGGGGGAAGGGGAGGGGGAGAAGAAAAGGAGGAGGAGGAGGAGGAGAAGAGGGAGAGGAAGAAGAGGAAGAGAAAGAAGAGAAGATGAAGAAGGAGAAGGGGAGAAGAAAAGAAGAAGAAGAAGAAGAAGAAGAAGAAGAAGAAGAAGAAGAAGAAGAAGAAGAAGAAGAAGAAGAAGAAGAAGAAGAGGGAGAGGAGGAAGAGGAGCAAGAGGAGCAAGAAGAGACAGACAGACAGACCGACAGACAGACAGACCATGTCCAACTCCGGGAATGTTAGCAGGCCATTTCTTTCTGCAATCTCTTCCATGCTGTGTGTGGCCTCTTGAAGGAGAAGCTTCATATGATCGCCGGCCGCTTTAGGAAACATCTGGCAAAGCTCGAAGAGGACGCTGTGAATCCGGAGATGATCAAAGTCAAGGTCGGATTGCGCTTATCTTTAACAGCAGCATCTCGATGTGACGTCGAGATACAGCTGGACACGCACATGTCGGAAACAAATGTTCGCTGAGCACAAAATCGATCGGCTTTTAAATCAAGGCACTAAGAACTGAGCTCTGGATAAATTCAGACATCAGAAATTGCCTCTCAGTAAAAGAATCCCAACTATATTATATCTGATTAAAAGCTCAACAACACTTTAACCATTTGTATCCTTACTTTCTTCATCGGTCTAGTTTCAAGGTACCCGACGCAGGCACCCCATCTCTGTGAAAATCTGTGATAACCCGGGGCGTGACACAAAAATAACAAAGTCACAAAAGTAGAATAAATTCCCTTGAATGCCTCCAACTTGGCCCCCAATGTCCAATTATCCTCAGCTGGACATCAAACTCTTCCAAAAACAGTTTATGAAGGAAAGAAATGCAGTCCGAACCCAAAGTAAAGATAATTAGAAATTTAAAAAAAACCAACACAAACCACATTGAAATAATTAACACGGCAGGCCAGGATGATAAATTGCAGACTTTCAAAACATAACGCAGCACCCACAGTTGGGTGGAAGGCCAAAACCCAGATAAGCCTCGACAAAGATAATGCAAGCTTTACTTCCAGCAAGGAGCTGTGTGCAAACGCCCCACTTATATCCTATTCTCCCAGCTGCAACTAATGAAAGGGACCAGGGCCTTTTTCTCTCCCATAAGCCATGTTGCTCCCTTCTCCGTTCCTCCCTGCATGCCTTAGGATGAACAGGGGGTGGGCCTGGGTCTTCCTCTGAATGCCCAGCCGGACTGTGCCCTTCCCCCGTTTCTTCCACAGACACCAGATCCACACTCCCACTCCCTGTCAGCTGTTCAATCTCCCCCTCAGAATCAGACTCCAACAAGGGCATGACATTCTGGGGGCTGAAGTCCACAAGTCTTAAAGTTGGTAAGTTTGGGGACTCCTGATTTAAAGAAATAAAAATACTTTTCTTTCTACTTGGAAACCGTTACTGAAGTGATGTTGAATTCAGCTTGGCACAATCCAACAGGTGCTGTACTCACACGACCAGCTCATCAATGGTTTTCAGTCTTGGCTGCCCCTCACGACTCAACTCTCCAATGTACTCCACGAGGAACCCGAATAGTTTCTGTGGGATGTAATTTTTTTTAATGTTACTAACAAGTTGAGGTCCCTGGACATAGCCTTTTGTTTCCACACCAAATGCCCTCCTGATGATTTACACACGACGGCAAATAACTCACCTCTAGCTTTGCTTTGTTCCCTATGGCGAGGCTGGGATGGTTCGTTTTCCGGATTCTCGCTATGATGTCCATTTGTTCTTCCGTGGTTCTTCCCAACAGTAAAGCCTGAAGCTGCTCGTACGATTCAGGCGCTATTCAAACGATGGAAAAAAAAAATATCGGGGGGAATTTGAGAAGTGATTTCAGAGAGTAGTTTAAAATGGCCATCTGGGTTAAAACATGGAACACGCACTAACTCGAATACGATGAGAAATACCCACGGGAAAGCAGCTCCGTTTCTATCACTGCTTGGGAGACAAAACATTGTACTTTGTGTATTTAGGTCAGGGATCTTCAAACTTGACAGCTTAAAGACTTGTGGACTTCCAACTCGCCCTTCTGGTTTTTTTTTCACAGACTGAGTTGGGGCTGTGGAAGAAAGTCTGTTGCCCTTCACTTGGGGTTGCTGTTCCTCTCCCAGTTTTAAGGTTGTGTTTCAAAATTTGTTTTGTACCACGTTTCCCGGAAAATAAGACCCTATGTTATTTTTATTTTGCCACAAAAAAGGCACCAGGTCTTATTTTGGGGTGATGCCACCCGCTGACTAACCTCACTTGTATGCGTCGCCCCCCACCCCCTTTCGCTGTCAGGAACTGCCTTCAGGAACTTCTTCTGGGGTTGGCAAGGCTTTCCGGAAGGCCTCGGCAGCCGATAAGAGCGCTCAGGATCGATCCAGAGCTTTGTTCTCAGCTCCAGAGGAAAGCCTTGCGAGCCTTGTTGGCTGCAGAAGAAATGGGCCAGCGAGGCAGGTGTCAGGGTGTGTGAGGCCTGGCTACAACTGTCCAGAGGTAAGTAGTAGGGCAGCTCCACCCCCCCACATCTTAATTTTTACCCGTCTACTCTGGAGTGAGCGGGATTGTAATTAGGGCTTATTTTGGGGTAGGGTTTATACTGGGCGCATGGGTAAAAATCAAGCTAGGTCTTATTTTCAGGATTGGTGATATTTTCAGGGGGAAAACGATATTATTTGTAGAGCTGTGGATTTGACATTCCCAAAGGCTTCTGATGAGGGCAGCAAAAATAAAAATCATTATATTTTTTTACCAGCAAACAAATACGGCAACTCCAGCTGGGCAGCCTCTTTATCTCTGCGGGAGTTTGGTTTCTTGATTTTCTTTTGGCTTTTTGAAAACCTCTTTCCCAGGACCGTCTCTTCGTCAGCGTCACCTTCGGACGGATCGTTAATGCTTTCAGTGTCAGATTCTTCTTCGCTTTCTTTATTCTCACTGTCCTCCTCTCCATCTTCACCATCCACGTCATTCTAGGAAGCAACAGAGATTGATTAGATAGCCTGGGTTTTAAAACAGATCAATTACTAATCAAACAAAGTTTGCTCTACTGGGGGGGATCCTAGGTACACCTAGCAGTGGTGGGATTCAATTTTTTTTTTACTACCGGTTCTATGGGCGTGGCTTGGCGGGTGCAGCATGGCTTGGTGGGCGTGGCAGGGGAAGGATACTGCAAAATCTCCCATTTCCTCCCCACTCCACTAACCTGCTTTCCAGCTCCGTTCTCCCGTGCAGGGCAATCAGAGAAGACCCAGCCAATCAGCTGGGACTCAATGGGAAGCAGAGAATGGAAGGGGGCGGGGCCAGTCAGAGGTGGCATTTGCCGGTTCTCTGAACTATTCAAACTTTCCGCTACCGGTTCTCCTGAACTGGTCAAAACCGGCTGAATGCCACCTCTGATGCCTAGCAGAGGTGGGCGGCACATACTTTTAACAACTGGTTCGCAGAAACTGTGAGCACACATGCACACACACACGCCATCTTCACCTTGCGTGGCAGCAAACCTAAGGGAATTTCCTGCGCGCAGCAGCCAGGGTGAGTAGATTGGGCAAGGCATGGAAAGCAGCTGGGCTGTGAAGGCGGAGTGCACAAGTAAAAAGTTGATAGGATGGGATGGCGCCTGGGCGGGCCCAACCGGTAGTCGTAACTAATGGTGACACCTAGCCAGCGAGAGGAAAGCAGGCCTGATCCATTAGAGCCACAGTGCCCAATCTTTTTTGCACCAGGGACCTGTTTCATGGAAAATAATTTTTCCATGGCCTAGGGTTGGGTGGGGAATGGTTTTGCGCACAGTCAGAGTATATTCATGAACTGGAATAGAGCTTGGTAACAAGGTCAGCCAATGAATAGGCATAGCAACTAAGTCAGCCAGTGTGGACTGTTTTGGAAATTGAAACTAGAATTAGCCTAGGCTGGAAACTGAAACTAAAAGTAGCCTAGGCGTGGCACTATGTTAAGCTCTGCAGCTCTGAAGCTATGTTGAGCTCAGAGTCTGTCTATTGAAAATGAAACTGCTTCTCTCCTCTGCTGTGTATAATGCTTGCTGCTGAAGTTACTTGCAACATGCTTCTGTTTGAGTTTGCTCCATTTTGGAGAAATCTACAACTGGTATTGTAAAATCTACTTATTATGTTTATAAAGATGTTAAATGAAGCATCAGCCATCCGTGTTTATTTTTCGGGCACTGAATTAACGCTGCAAAACTCTAATTCGCACAAACTTCATTCTGTACATGTGCAGATTAAGCTTTGCTCGCTCGCCCACCAGGTGTGTGAGCCAGTTCTTAGCAGGTCATGGACCGGTACTGGTCTGTGAATCCGGGGTTCGAGAGCTGGTGATCGATTCTACCCAACTGTGCACAATCCAGAGAAGGCACTTTTTCTCAAGAGCGCATTTGTGTGTTACAACAACTACTACTGTCTGCAGGCATGATATTCTGCTCTGAAAAAAAAATCGGGGCCAGCCAAAAGAGACCCCCCGCCATGCACCCAGGGAGTGCCCACTGCTTTCCCTCGCCAGGGCCACCGCCCGGGCTCCGCTCAGGTATCCGGCTGGGGCTGTCAGGAATTGCTACCGCCGGCGCAGCTCCACGCGGCTCCAGTCCCGCGTTGCCTCGTGAGGGAAAGGCAAAACCAGGAGCCGCTGCTGCCGTTGCAAAGCGCCGGCGCGGCTCTTCCTTTTTGCCTTTCCCTTCCTGAGGCAACGCGGGACTGGAGCCGCGCCAGCAACTCCTGACTTGGGGCCTCCGAGGGGAGGGGAAGGAGGAGAAGAAGGGGGGGGAAGGGGGGGGATTCCCAAAAAAATCGGAATTCCGATTTTAATCGGAAGAATATCATGCCTGTGTCTGGATTCCCTGTGGCTGGAAATTCGGGGATTTGGCAGCTTAAAACCTTGGAAGGAGACATGGTATGGAGCTGAAACCAGATGGGATGCCTGATCCAACTTATCTGCAAAGTGGAAGGGTGGGAGGAAAGGCTGTGATGCAGCAACAAGAAAGCAGGATCCCTAACCCCCTTAAGGAGACTCCTTAGGAAAACCGACCAGCCTCCAGATTAAGAGCAATAGCACTTTGACTTATATACTGCTTCACAGTCCTAAGTGGTAAACAAAGCCAGCATCTTGTCCCCAACAATCTGGGTTCTCATTTTCCCGAACTTGGAAGGATAGAAGGCTGAGTCAATCTTGAGCCGGTCAGGATCGAACTGCTGGCAGTGGGCAGAGTTAGTCCTGCAATATTGCATTGTAATCACTGGGAAGGAAGGAAGGAAGGAAGGAAGGAAGGAAGGAAGGAAGGAAGGAAGGAAGGAAGGAAGGAAGGAAGGAAGGAAGGAAGGAAGGAACTAGCAATAGCACTTAGACTTATATACCACTTTACAATGTTTTACAGCCCTCTCTAAGCAATTTACAGAGTCAGCCTCTTGCCCCCAACAAACTTGGTGGCCATTTGACTGACCTGGGAAGGATGGAAGGCTGAGTCAACTTTGAGCCGGTCAGGATCAAACTGCTGGCAACAAGCAGAGTTAGCCTGCAGTAGTGCATTCTAACTACAGTGCCACCACAGCTCTTGCCAATGTTAAACTGGGCTTCTGCAATTTGCCCTGATCATTCGGGGAAGGGCACAATCTTTTGTGCCAGGAGGCTGGGAGTTCGATTCTAGGGACAGATATTTCTCTCTCTGGGCACACTAAAAATATATCTACTGAATAAAACTCTGCATTGGCGACAGGAAGGGCATCCAGCCAGTAAATGCTGAGCTTCATTCAGTTGGTCAGACTCCATCCCACAAGGGATTATGAGGTCATTTAACAAAAAAAAAAAAAGAGGACAGTAAAAGGATGCATACACCATAGGACAGCAAGGGCCGGTCGTCTTTGGTCAGGAGAAATCCATCTGCCAAATCGTCAGCTGATAGGTGCTTCGGTTTTTTGCTGCTCTCCTTTCGTTCCTCTCCTTTCATTCGACGTAAGCGGTCAGCCTGCATGGGAAAGAGATCCCAGGAAATCTGGTCAGCCCTCCTAAGTGGTGGGATCACAATGGGGCGGAGCCACGAGGAAGACTCCTCAGGTGGTGGCCATCTGGAAAATCCCTTGAAAATGTAAATGCTACAAATGCTCTTTTTAGGCACATACCTGTTGATTCCCAACATGGATCTTTAGCGAATACAACACTGTGAGTAATTTAACTGTAGCATAATTCAATTAAGGAAAAAAGGGTTTTTTTCCCCATAGTTTTTCATTTTTTTTAATCCTGCTTTTTAGCCACTTCAAATGCCAGTTTGGGTTTCAGTTCTGTCACTTGGGCTCAATATGAATAAATTAGTGTCTAAATGGAAGAGGGATGGATCCAGAATGGGGGCTGAAATTGTCAGAGTATTCATGAACTGGCAGAGACATGGTTAACAAAGTCAGCCAATGGGAGCTGAATTGGGGGCTGAGAGTCTGGGCGTGGCTTAGCTCAGGGCTCTCAATTCTGAAAGTGAAACTAGTAAATCTGTTCTGAGATCCTGAGTTGCTATTTTGACTATGTTTTGCTATGTTCCATTGGAAGAAACTACTGATATTGTAAACTTTGTCAGGATTCCAGCAGTTACCCCAATTAAATCATGAGTCTCGAGCCAAACTTCCAACTTCAAAAGGATTTATTGAGAGTTAACATGCCGGCACTGCCTGGGTGTAACCGACTCTGAGGCACATAATTCATTGTCACCCTTGACCCTGGTCTCCCCCCACCCCCTGGGTGTATTGTAATTCATATTCTCCCAATGGGACACATCCATAGCCAAGAGTCATCGATCATACTCTCCAGTTAGAATTTTGCACGGCAGAAACTTCAGTCACCTAGTTACTATCTCTGAAAACATTTATGGAATGCACTTTTGGTTTGCAAGCTGCCGCACTGCTCCCCCCTCCCTTTTTGTTGGCAACTCTAAAAAGACCAGAGAAATATTTTATGAGTTGACAAACTTTACTTCAATATGGTATTATGTATATAAAGAAGTTAATGGTCCTGTTGATTCAGTCACCTGTGTGTTTTCTGGACTTGAACTTGCTGCAAATTCTCACAGAAATCCTAGGCAGCCAAACTACTCACACCACTCCGTAATGGAAAGCAACCAATCAGACTGACTCAAACCCTGGAGAAGAGCCAGTTTTCAAGACTCCTTTGAAGCCAAGTGACATGGCCTTCTTACCTGCAAATAACACAAGACTGCCAAAGGCAGCTGTGGCTGTTGAACAAGTTTTAGCTGTTCTCAGCCTGCCCAGACTAACAAACAACCATTACTGATTACCCTGTTTTTTTCCTTTGATGAACAGGACAACCCTACATTAGTAGTGCAGAACTAATGCTATGCAGACCAAAAAAAAAAATAGGCCTAAATAGTTGTTGAAAGAGCATCAAGATTAAGTAAACCACAAGTATATATTATACCTCTAACTGCTGGAGTTTCTCTTGCTCTTCTTTTGCCAGTTCTTCTTCAGTTTTCATCCTATCCGAGGGTTGCGTCTTCATTTCAAAGCCAAGCTCTCTAACCAGCACATCATATTCATCGGGCTGCAAAAATTCAACAAACGTGCAATCATTGTAGCGCTTGGCTGTGTCAAACAAACTTTGGTGAGCAGAAAATAAAAACTCTGCAATTCATTCACTCAAAACCTTTTCCTCCTGTTAAACATGGTAAATGTTTGATTCTAGCAATACATTTAGTATTTCCCCCACTTTAGATATCACGTATCTTTTTTGTAATGTGGTGACCAAAACTGGATGCAGTATTCCAGGTATGGCCTTACTAAGGACTTATAAAGCAGTACTGATGATTCTGATTCTATGCCTCTATTTATAAACCAAGGACTATATTAGGTTTTTTGGCTGCTACTGCACACCGGTGGTTCATATTAAAGTGACCTTCCACTAGAACTCCAACAGTAACTTTCAGAGTTACTGTTTCTGAGCTGATAAAAAGAAACATCTCTTTTAGTCCCTTTATAGTCGAAAAAGAGAAACATCTCCCAATTAATATTCCCCAAATAATTAGGAAACAGGGGGTGGATGTCATTACCTAGATTAGAAATGACCCATGTATATGAATTGACATAAATGTAACAAACTGTACTTAGAACACAAAATTGTTGTATAAAACAGAACAACTTCTAAGAGTCTTTCCACAGGGAAGTTCCTTGTTGCTGAAGATGGTGAAGAAATGACTCAGTTTTTCCAGGATGTTCAGCAAAAAGCACACCTACTTGCAAATAGTTTTGTTTCTAAAATAGGGGGACTCAGATAAACAAGCTCACCTTGGGTTTTTCTTCAACTTGACTTGGTGTCTCTGACTTGGAAGACCTCTGCAACAAGAGGGCTTGGATCTCTTTCCAATCGTTGTTAAGCTTTTCTGTAAGTTCCAGAGTATTTTCCCTTTGAGCCTGTCGCTCTTTCTTTAAAAAGAAAAGGGGGGGAGGATGATCATATTATTGCTATCCTATACAATAGGTGCCTAATCTGAATGCTCTTTTTTTGTATTCAAACAAGAAGTAGAGAATTCAAAAGAAAAGCAAACAATTACAAATTTGTATGCAAATATCCTCTATAATATTTCACCCCCAAAACCTGCTTGAAATCAACACACCCTAAGAAACCGATTCAAGACTTAGGGATAACTGTAGCTAAGGATTTTTTACATCCATCCCTTTTGTTCTATCAAAACATATGCCTTAGAAAATATCAACAGCAAACAGCAAGATCCCGCTTCTTCTGACAGATTAAGAGAAAGTGAATATCTAAGGCCTTAGTTGAGCAATGCATTCTGTAAAATTTAAAAAAAAAAATAGTTCACTTTGGTTTACATATATCTGTGCATTGCTTACTCCACCATAGTGCTCAGTTGAAAAGTATTGGGTTAGATGACAAAAATTTCACCTGACTCAAAGATATTAGAGCCTCCGTTTTGTCTTTTTTTTCTATTTATATTATCATTTTTATTTATAATATAAAATACAAAAATGCAAATGCAAACAATAGGAAAAGTAGGGAAAGGAAAAGGGTAGAAAAGGGAAAAAGAAAAAGCATTGACTTTTGACTCCCTTTGATGAAGCAGAATAAGATAGTAACATCAAACCTCAAATTTTTACTTTGATATTAAGGTCTTCCTTGACAGTGATGGACATATAATGTCAAAGCAGCTACTGCGCATTCCAAGCAGGGGAATTATACCTTTTAGTTTTATAGAAAAAGAATGTACTGATTTCAACTTCAGAGCATTTCAAGTTTAGGATAGGTTACCTTTTCCAATTTGGATTTTGCTATCAGCTCTTCAACGAGTTCCTTCCGTGACTTGGGATTTTGACCACCTTCATTCTGCTGTTCTGTGGGTTTTTTCTTAGAAAGGAGTCCTCCAAAATGAGAAGCAGTTAATTCCTCTGGAAATGCAAGATTTTGAATTGATCAGGATGTAAATAAATCCCGAGAACTCAGCATGTTAAAATCCCTAATGTTGCTTTAGCATCGTTAATAATTTACCAGAGCAAAATGGAAGGAGAGCATGACTAAGCATGAGAGCAGAACTAGAAAGATTACTGAAAGTTTTGAAACTATCAATTTATAAATTAAAACAGAATTCTAGTAAGTTACACACCATACATTAGTCTTCTGTAACTGCTTCTACGGCACTTCATAATTTCATGTACAAGAGTTGTAGAGATCTTATTAAATCAGAGTTGCATGTTATAAAGCAGGGGTTGCCAACCTTTTGGACCTCAGGGACCACCAAACTCGTAATTTTAAATCCCGTGGACTACTAGCATGAATTTTGACTGACGGTGGCTTGCTGACGTTTTCCCAGGGTCTCTACAGAAAGCAGCAGAGACCCTGTGAAAATCCTCAAAAAAGTCTGCAGGAAAATTCCCCACCCTGTTTTCCTACCCATCGATCGTTCTTTATTTGGGATCACAGGATACCGTCTCCAGCTCCGTTCTCAGGGGGAGAGAGAGAGAGAGATTTTGGCTTCATGCAAGGAAAGCAGCAGAAGCCTTTCTTTCTCTCCCCCAAACTCCACCAGAAATGATTCTTTGTGAGTCTTGTCATGCTGCCACAGCCTCTTGGAGCAGGAGGCCTTGCAGGGTCCCAAAGACTAATTTCTGGCGGAGTTTGAGGGAGAGAAAGACAGACTTTTGCTGCTTTCCTTGCGTGCAGCCAAAAGCAGAAGAAAGCGGAAAGAGGCAGCCTGGTGGCCAGGCCAGGCACGTGGGGAAAGTTCCCCCCTCTGCCTTTTCCTCCCTCCCCTACCTCGTGTTGTTTGCAATGCAAGCGACGGATTAATTGCTTTGGGGGATGCTTTGGGGGTGACATTTCTCTGCGGACCACCAAAGTTTTCTCGTGGATCACCAGTGGTCCCTGGCCCACCGTTTGTCTGTGATGACCGAGAGTGGGATACAAAATAAAAAAAAAGTCCCAAAAACAGATGAAGCCCCTTTTATTCCTTCACTTTGCTTCCAAGCTCCAAATATCCTTCACTGGAAACAAAAACCTCCCCCACAAGCAGTTACGAAAAGGAGGAAATGCTATTTAAACTAAAAATGCTTATAAGTTATAAAGAGTAAAAACAACACAAACCACACTGAAGCAATTAAGGGAACCAGGCAAGATAAGGGCTTGAAGATGCCCACAGATATCCGAACACACAATGGGAAGGACGCCAAACTAAGAGAGGAACAACAGAGTAGAGATATTTCCACGCTTTGTTTCCAGCACTGGCCCATACGCATGTCCGCCCTCTTATCCAGTTGTCACAGCTGCAGCCCATGAAGAGGATCAAAGCCCCCGTAGACCACACCATTCCCGTCTCTCCCTTATCCACTCCTCCCTTCGTGTCCTAGGATGGAGAGGGGGTGGGCCTGGGTCTTCCTCTGACTGCCCAGCCGGCCTCTGCCCTTCCC